AAGCAGGGCGCACAGCATAGCCCTTCAACCGGTGCCTTTGCTAAAACAGCTTCAGTTTCCTTTGTCAGACCGCTTCGCTTAGTCTCTGCGCCAAGCGTCTTCTTGCCAAACCAAACGAGCGGCAGGGAGCACATCGTCTCCGGTACTCGCGCGCGTTATGCTTTGCTATGGGTTCCTAGCGCCGTTGGTCCCGTAGTGCTGCGTATATCTCTTTGAGTCAGTCAGTCGGTGCCGCGTTCCCGTGCCTGGATATGTTGTGGGCACTGTGTTGTGGTGATCCCCCCAGAAGCGTGACTCTGAGCGGCTTGATTTAGCTGGGCCTGAGCCAAAGGTGGGCTGAATCGGGTGGCTCAGTACAACGAGTGGCGTGCCAGCGGTTATTCTGCGTCGCAGCTTGCGATGGGGCGGCACCCACTCAGACCCCGCAATCCAATAGGCGCTGCTAAAACAGGCTACCATAAGCGACGCCAGCGAAAGGCACATACAGAGGACTGCAGTCCTGTAAGGCTACTTCTACGAGCCCGATAGGACCCACACTGGCACCACTGGCAGCGACGGGAGAAGTCGGTCATGAGCGCAAGGCAAACCGAACACCATCGGCGGCCAGCAGGTTGCCTGCCTTCCTGCCTTCTTTCTTCTATGACGGGCAAAACGGGGTGGTTGGGGCGTCTACAGGTGACGCTCAGGCGAGCGGCTTACTTAAACCGGGTGCAGGCCGCAGCTAACTCCGAGATCCTGCAGGACTCTAGTCCGAACCGCAACAGGCAGGGGTCCTGCTGCGATATGTGCCGATGTAGCTCTCGATGTGCGTACCTCGTTGTGTATGGCCGAGCCTATGTTGCATCGGGAAACGTCTGCTCCGTTTGCCTTCTCCGTTTGGAGACCCAGGTCGAACGCTCGAGTATGTACAAGGTGGAGTGCAGGACTGGCGAAACAGCAGCAGAGAAGCCTAAAGGCCAAGAATCGACTTTTTTTTTGCTGCGACTCCGAGACGCGCTCGCAAAAGGATGACGACGAGCAATCATCATCGCCACAGAGATTAGGATATCAGAAACACTAGGGTCAGGATGGGTTGGCTGGCTGCAATAGCTCTATGTCAAAAAAGGATCAATGAGTGAGGTCAAAACACCGACCGTGGCTCGGCGGGCAGCATGCAAGCAGCGCGACGATGTCACTGTAAAGATGCAAAGATGGCAAAAGGAACAAAGCATCCCCAAAAAACTGCTAAGGCGTCTGCATTGTGCGAACAGAAAAGGGAAGGCAGGGAAAAGAAAGAGATGTAACAAGATAGATCCATAAATAAATGTTCCCTTCAGGTAGAAGCTATTGTAGTAATTGCAGGGAGAAGAAGTTAGATCATTGTCAGCTGTTTCGCTTGCTGTTAAGAGTAATGCAATTTGTGTACATACATATAGCATGAAAAAATAAGTAAATTGTTTCCGATAATTACCGGCGAGGAGGGTTAGCGACTAGACACTGTCTTTTTATTTCTATGTCAAGGAATCATTTGTAGACTTCGATATCAATAGTCCCAAAGTTTCATGCAGATTGAAAGCAACCTTGAGAACATGTCCAGATTTGAGAGAATGGATAATTCAGTGTCAGGCCAGCGTCAGGTGCCTTAAACTATTTTTAAGAAATACTATTGCGCCTGTCTGCATGCACTTCTACTCGTCTACCTCCTAGCCCTTACTGATATATATCTCACTGTCTTTTCGTGGTAAATAAATGCAATTTATACATTTCAATGTGAGTTAATTCTGACTGTTTTTGATTTAAAGTGATATTAATGAACAATGAAACAGAATAGTATGAGACGATCTACGAAACAGCACCCTTTTTGGGTTCGTACGCACTATGAGTTACAACAGTAAGGGGTATCAGATCGACTGTATAACTCAGAGCGAGCTTCAGCTATTGAGAGTAGGAAATACATATTCCCATAAAGCGGGGGCTTTCGGTGGTAATAAACCGAAAGCACACCAACAATTGAAAAATACGAACTGGTCTATTGTACCTGACATATACTATAAAACATGCCGTTAAAATATAGTCGTGGCAAACGCAGTTTCTTATATTTTAATAATATTGCCCAACCATTACCAGATAATACTAGGCCCGTTATTTGTTAGTATTCTGTAGACGGCTTAATTGATAGGCTTCCATTTTGGCCATGTGAGCGGCTATTCGCCTGGCCAACAAATAGGATAGCTTTCTTTTTTTACCATCGAGTAAAAGTTTTGGGTACTAGAATAATTACGAGTAGAGGACTGGTGAACCACAAAGTTAACTTCGTCATAAAATTAGTATAGTAGTATGTTCATATTATGATAAGCGGTTGTCGGAGGGGGTGAAGCAAGTGTTTTTTTTTCTATCTTATTGGCCCCCGAGGTGAGAAACGCATGACCATCCCATGACGCTCGCATCTCTTGTATGTTCTTTTGCGGAACGAAGTAATGTCTTCAAGCTGAGTTGAACATGAAACCGAGCCGTAGTTACATTCATCCATTACTTCCAGTCAAAACATTAATCTCAAATTTAACCCTTCATATCCAGAACTATGACTAAAATACACAACGCAATTCAAGTGCGAGTACCGTTACTCGGACGTCGATCGTGGCGACTTTGTATTGTACAATGTAAGGTAAATGTCAGGTCACTTGGAACTATCCGATGTTGGGATTTGGTCGATTGTGTCGAAAACGTTACGAAGCTAGTCTTATACTACTCTTAAAATAAACCTACATAATCAAATATAGGCAGACGATTTTACACTCAGCCGCTAGTTTGAACGCTAGCTCCAAGGACAATAATTTAAAGTGAACAACATGATTAATTAAGCCTTTTTAGCTGACTACCTATTGAATCCGCATTAAAAGTTGCAAGTAAACTCCTTAAACAGCCTTCCGATTAGGTCAGTTGAATGTACCTATATGTTTTCCTCATATAGATAAATTCCAAAATATACAGGGTAATTAGGGTTCACGTTCATGGACGAAAGCGATTATCATTGGGTATTTGCGGTGTCCGTTAACAGATAAAAAAAGGTGACGAGATAGTTTGCCGTGATGTAAATCTAAGTTATACATTATACTAAGCCATTTCTATTCTTAATAATGGGTTTGCCTTGTAGTCTTTGAGTCCCGGCGCATAGACTACCGTAGATTAGAAAAAAAATTATGAGACGCTCATCGTTGCAATATGGGAGGGAAATCAACCTTATTAAATGTTAGCATTTTCCTTCATAGCTCCTACTGCCAGCTACACGTAGTCGAGTGAGGTCAGTCGGGCACACTGTGATTGTTACTTGGTTCATTAAACCCGAATAAGTGTTACTTGACGAAATTGATATTTCCACTTGTTAGATCGGAGATATTGTTGATTTGTCGCAGGCCGATTCATATATAAAAACATCTAAGCATGGACAGATGTTATCTATAAGCGTTCGGCTTACACACCTGATGTCGAGGTTTTCCGTCTCGCTTTTGTCGGCCTATCATAAATAATCGATTCGCTTTTGTTTGGCTCATATTAGCCAAATAGGCTCTATCTATGGGCAAATCTATGCTGCGTTTGCTGACCATAGTCAGTAGTGGGTACGGTTGGTTGTTCCGTTTATGATAATTACTATTTACTACTAGAGTTTTTTTTCGCTCTCTCCCTCCCTCCCTCCCTCCCTCCTCATTCTTGGCAGACAGAGCGCTTTCAGACCTACGTCAATCCCACGGTTATTCCCCTCCCTGCGCAGGGGACAAGGACAAACGACGCCTGCGGTAATTGTTCTCTCCATATCGCAGTCGGCGTCGACTGAGCTAAAGCACCGATCTCCGCTCATTGCCATTTTGCGTGCGATCAATCACACCTCGGTTGTCTGATGACCAGTGGGGATCTGGGGAAACGGGAACATGGTTACAGACGTACCGCCAGATATGTAGTTCTGTGTTCTGGGATTTTAAGCTACGACTCAATATTTCAGTTAAATGATTGGGTTTTTGACAGTAGCTCGCCAGGCTTTGGCTAGTACGACTATCGTTATACTGACCACATACGGTCGAATCGGTCCCTGCCACAGCTACAAGGCTATTAGCGAGAGTATCAATGCTGAATGATGTCTACCCCTGCAAAAAAAATATAATGGCATGATATGTGCGTTTGTTCGTGCGTGCACAACTTATTTGCAGTCAAGTACACGAGAACTGTAATTGCTACAGCGTTTAAAAAGCTCGTATTGCATTCGTCTACATGTTATACTCTCAAGACAATACACCCCTCACGTTTACAATCGGATATTTATTTATTTATTTTCTTTAATTATTTTTAATTCATTCTACAATCGGGTTCAGGGAGGTTTTACCTCTGTGTAAAAATTGAAGAGCTAAAGAAAATTTAGTGTCTGGTACCCCCAGTAAATAATATTTCATAATACGGTGCATAAGTGAACTTGGTCACTGAGATCATTGCTCGTAAAATAGGAATTACAAATAAATTTAATAAAGCATAAATAATAGATGATCAATTTATATTCTATGAACTCAAGAGCATCAATTGATATACTTCATACTAAAGCCTCAACGCCGATGCCTTCGAAACGATTTTTGTAGCTTTTTTTGAAGATAGTTTAATGAAAACGATGTTTGTACTCACAAGTATTTTTTTATGTTAAAAAAATGTTATCAGCTATACATAAACACGAACGTGAAGAGTCACAAGGTTATATCTTGGGCTAGAAAAATCAGTTTCAAGTTCAAATGGGTTAAAGTCAGCACAGAAGTAGCTTCAATCGTAGGATAATTGACAGATGAAAATGGTACATAGTATAAATATTATATTGGATCGTGGGATAGTTGTAACGAGAAAATTACGATAGAGAGCAATGCGGATAACTGCAACGGTAATAATGATCGAGCATAGCTATGAGTTAAAACGATCAATGTTTCATGCCGAATGTTAGCTATATGAAGCGAGAAAAAAAAGTGTACCTTGAACTTCAACTTGCCGGTTCAGAACTTAAGTTCGGACCTAAAAAGTGAATTCACGTAGGGGCTTGATCTAAAACAAGTTACCGAATAGTGAATAAATAAATGGCTTTGGATGTTTGTAGACAAACCGTAATTGTAATGGTGTTATGCTGTGCGCAATTATCCATTATCGAATAGGCCGACTGCAGCGGCCACTCCGTCCGATATTGAAAGAGATTCATAGAGCCTTGAATCGTGTCCACTATATATATATAATTTCAATAAGAAATTAAAAATAAAAACTTGCCAGTTCGATCAGCCACTGCGCAGCATCTGTGAGCTTGCCCCCCCTTGCCGAAGTTATAGCTCTGCCCTCCAAATGCCCTCTGGTAAATTTTTCCTTCTGGTGTTCTACTGAACGGCATGCCGTAGTTCTCTAGTTCAATGACAGCTGCTGGTGCTTCCTGTAATTAACATTATCCTTGGTAATTATATTATGATCAAGTACTGTAGTATGCATATAATGAAAATGGCAAAAATACTATTAATGCATCAGGTCGCTTGTTTCGAAGCAGTCCCCAAACAGAATGTACTGCATTGTACTAGAAATTCACATAAACGGAATAAAATTAGTTCATTTTAAGGCTGAAAGCAGACAGTGTCCCAGAAAAGTTGGGTGTTTGTATGAATATTTATAACTTATTTATTAATAATGTGTTATGATATAAATATGAATAACAAGTCCCGACTCCTTAACAAACACTGTCCACTGCGCGGAAAGCCTACTTCACCTTGGTCATGTAGTGGATAGCGTCTTGATCGCCTAACCAGTCGGAACCTTTTACAGTGTCGTACATGTGCCATACCCAATTGTCAGGTTCCATATTGCCCAGTGCAGCGTTAATACCTCCCTGAGCTGCTACGGTATGAGACCTGTAACAGTAACAAGTATCCAGCATTGACTATTGGTCTGGCCATATATCAGTTATACTCAAACTGCGTAATCTGTTTTATAAGTTACATTTTTATATCATGCTTGAGGAAGGCCCTCTTACCTTATATTAAAACCACCCAAGTCTTGGATAGAAACGACTCATCCTCTCAAATTATGACCCATCAAACACTCTTTGATTATACATGGATTCGAACTCGGTCTCTACATCATGCTTGAGGAAGGCCCTCTTATCTTATATTAAAATCACCCATGTCTTGGGTAGAAACGACTCATTCTCCC